ACACATGAGGTGAAAGTGCTTTCCCCACACCTCAGTATGTCTGCAATCTTTCTCTCAGGCTGTGTACAGCTCCATCAACCTACAGCAACACGGCAACCTCTATGTTGGCTGTGACAAACAGATTGGTGCTTCATCAGCAGTAATGTGAACACTGTACCTGACTGTGCCGATGAAGAGGTAGCTGTACTGAAAGGTGCACCTCTCAATTAACTTGTCAATGTACATTCCAACCCTCACCAAAGCTCACAAGCTTTAAGTGCTGAGAAAAAGGCGAGACCAAATTAAATGAATTTCCCTCTCAGTGTAGCTGGATTAATCCTTAGTGACAGAGTGAGAAACTCAAAAGGAGTCAGTTGACATGACTTGAGCAACTTGCAGCATTTCTGTATCTGCATTTGTTTCATTTGCAGTCACATTGTAAAGTTAATGCTGAGATGTTTTCCTCATCTGCTTGTGGTGTGTGTGTGTGTGTGTGTGTGTGTGTGTGTGTGTGTGTGTGTGTGCTTGCTTGTGTTTTTCTCAAGTTGCAGTAGATTTCTCTTAGCAACCGTTATTAGATGGAAACTACAATTCTGTAACTTTCTAACTTTGCTATTTTTTACTGTTACATGAGCAGATTTAAATTTTACTCTATAGTGATTACTTGTGCTTATGATGCATCACAAATGTACATAATAAAATAACAGGAGGGAGGGAGTGCATATCATGGATTTATAAAGAGAATTGAATAAAGCATTGGAGGCAGGACCCAGTGCATTCATGCAAAAGTTACTTGGAGCCGAAAAAATCTCATTTTCCACAGTATTAAATTACCCTGATCTTCCACACTGTGGGGCCTCACAGCGAGAGCACCAGTGACTTATAGTGGCCCAGCAGCTAATTTCCAGTTTAGCACTCTGCAAATTTGAATGAGAAAAAAATGGTTTAATCTTGAGGCTCCTCTAGGCTTTCCAAATATTATTGGACGGAATGGATCAAATAAAATGTATCCACTCATTAACAGATGTATCTTTCATTATGTAAGTCTATGGGGAGTACGTATTTTTGGGCCTAATACCGTCACAGACTTGGATGTTGTAATTCCATTTTCAATTTTGCGCATTAGTCCTGTAGATAGCAGGATTCCAAAATATTTGGGTTATGCGTGAATTACTGGCTCATGATTACATGGGATACGTATGAATTTGGGTGCATTACTTTTCATAGGAAACCGTATGAACAGTTTATGAGAACAGCCTGTTGCAAACATATGAATCTACAGGAAGTGACTCTGCCAAAATATCAAAGGTCACACAACAAAAATCTAATTAACATGTAGCAGACTGCAGATATTTCATTTTGTTCACAAACTAAAAGCTCCCCAAAAGAAACAAACAGAAACAAATTTATACAAGGCAACTAATAAAATGTGAGGGAAAAGTGGATTATTGGTGAAATATAAAACGTATTACATGAATACATTGGTTACATCAGTTATAGTGTAATGTGATTTTTTTGTGTGTTAATAATAGTATAATAATAATAGACTGGGTTGGGAAATGATGGGTCTCTGTGGTTCAAATATATCTCTTTTGTACTTCGATGATGATAAATGTGAATGTGATGCACAGTTTCATAAAGTATTACAGGTAGAGAAAGATTTAACCTGTCTTTTCCTAGCATATATTTGAATATTTGAACATCTAATGTAGGACAAAAGTGTTGGAACATGCTACATCTTGTGATTTCTGCCTGATAAAAGCTGAGTGTGACCCATAAAATGCATTAAGAGCAACTTTTCCGCAGCCTCCTCTGGGCATGTAAATGCTTTTTTCTACATTTAATCTCAGCAAAAACAGGCTCTCATTTCATTGTACATTAAAATGCTTATCAGACTGCTGTGACAAAGGAGCTTTTGGAAGTGTAAAAGCTCAAGTGAAAGCAATTTAGTCTGACAGACGTTTTGACAGTTATTTTCTTTGTACTGTTTTGAATTGGTTCACACACGCAGACCCACATCCTGCATGTGAAATAATTTGCTCTTTTAAAGACACTTACTGATGCACACACACCCACATGAACACACACATCCCTGATTGTTGTTTGATCTCCTTTTTTCTCCCTATTATCTTTTTTATTTTTCCCTTTTAAACACACACCCAAACACTCACACACACAAGTGGCCAGGAATGCATTCTGCTTTCAATTGTTGCTCGAGCACTCTGCCAGTGTGGCAGGTATTTTTTGCTGTAAATTCTCATTGTTCAAATTAGAGTGCACATCTGTCCGTCATTTTAGGCTAATGTGCAAGTAAGTACAAATGTTGAACTATTAAAACTATTTGAAAGTTAGTTGACAACCATTAGGAGAAAATCACTCAGTCCATTCAGGATGCAGCTGAGTTGCCGACACTCATTGACATTTAGAATGACATTTAGAAAATTATAATAACACCTTTTGATTAAGCTGTGCACTAAACGTTCCTACAGACATTTATGATCCCCAGAAGATGAAGCCATCTTCTCCATGAGGTTGATTTTGTGATTTGAAGTAGTGATGTGACGTTCGTGAACAAACCGAGTCTTTGAACTGGCTCTTTGAAGTGAACAAGTGAAACGACTCTTTGAAGTGAACGAGTGAACCGGCTTTTTAGAGTAAACAAGCCAGTTCCTAATTACTTTGTTATTTGCATTAATTTACTCTGTATCCATTAATACCAGATTATTTGATCATTTGATTTGATTATTTGGAGAAAGAGAGTGCAGCCGCTCACTCGTTCACTTCAAAGAGCTGGTTCAAAGACTCAGCTTGTTCGCGCACGTCACATCACTACTTGTTTTTAAAGGGCATTGTTATGGCTACACCAAACTTCGTATCTGCGGAGTCTATTCTGGGTCGACGTTACAATATCCAATATATTTTTGCTTTAATTTACTCTGTATTCATTAAGTCCAGATTATTTGATCTGGAACAAGTTGAGAGAGTCTAGTTTGTGAGGGAGAAAGACAGTGCAGCCGCTCACTCGTTCACTTCAAAGACTCGGCCCGTTCACGCATGTCACATCACTACTTGTTGTTTAGAAAGGGCGTTGCTATGGCTACACCAAACTTTATATGTGCGGAATCTATTCTGAGTCCACGTTACAATATCCAGATCACGTGATGCGATAAATCAGCAATGCGATTCGTCGCTGAACCCACTAACATCCTAACACAGTTTGGCTTTCTTCACATTGACCTTTGCAGCCTTGCCATTAATGTAGAGCAGACTCTCCTTAGGCATGATAAAAGGGATCCTACCAGAAACAAATTAAAAGTCATTATGTGGATTCCACAGTGGTGCAAATACAAATGAGGCTAAATGAAAGGGCACATACAGTATGAAGCTGCTGTTTATCGATAGCTCATTACAGCACCACACATGCTTACATTGTGGTAAGTGAGGCCCTTTGCAATTACAGTATTAGCGCTCTGCTCAACCCACTTAGCTCCCTGGTGATCTGAAAAAAAAAAAAAGGTATTAAAAGTTAAGGAGTAATGTATTATTATAGTTTCCTCCATTCCCGCCCGCCCGCCTCTCCACGTGGCTGCATTGCAACACGCGTTATGGGATGGAAGTGCCCTTGCTGCGTCATTTATTTTATGTACAACAGTAAAATTGGATTTACTCAGCGATAAGTGCCGTAGTGTGTGGCAATCACACTTGTATTGAGCTGCATTCTGAGTGACAGATTTATTATTGCTTTATTCCTCACAGTTTAAGTCACAGCTCTGAGGATCTGTCATCTGTCTGGGTCCCTCCATGTGTCACTTCTTCTCGCTCTTCCTCCCTCAGATTGAAATTGTTACAACTTCCAGAGTGCTAATCTGTTAATATGTAACACTGCTGTGTCCTCTCCTCGTTTCCTCCTTTCTTCTCCACATTTCCTCCTCCACTCTCATTTCCTCCTCTCACCCTCTCATGTTTCCTCCTCTTCCCTTCTCTCAACTTCTTGCTTGTTTCCTCCTCTCCTCTCCTCTCCTCTCCTCTCCTCTCCTCTCCTCTCCTCTCTCTCCTTTCCTCCTGTCCTTTTATCATTGGTTTCCTCCTCTCATCTTTTGTACTTCCTTTCCTTGTACTCTCCTCTTTCCCTCTTCTCTTTTCACTTTTTTCCTCTTCTCCTCTCATCTTTTATCTTTTCTTGTACTCTTAATTTCCTCTGATCATCTGGTCTCCTCCTCTTCTGTTCTCACTTGTTTCCTCCCCTTCTCTTCTTACTTGTTTTCTTCCTCTCCTCTTCAGGTTGTTCCCTCTCTTCTCGCCTGTTTCCTTTCCGTGCTCTCCTCATGTTTCCTCCTCTTCTCTCGTTTCCTCTCCTCTCTTCACACTTGTTTCCTTTCCTTTCTTGTCCTCTCCTCATGTTTCCTCCTCTCCTCTCCTCTCCTCCTCTCCTGTTCTCTCTTGATTCCTCTTCTCCTCTCATCTTTTGTCCTTACCTGTTCTCTCCTCTCATTTTCTCATCTCCTGTGTTGTTTCCTCCACTCCCCTCTTCTCTCTTGTTTTCTTCTTTTCTCTCCTCTTCCTTCATCTCCCCCTCTCCCTCCCTCATTCCAGTGCCTGCTCAGCACTCTCCCTGTCCGTTTGCCTTGCTCCTCTGTATATTCTAATGACACTGCAGTAGTTGGGGATGCTTGCCGTGTCCTTGTGAAAAAGTTATTCGGGGTTATCTGGAAGTTCCCTCAGACTCAGACATAAATATTTCAAGTTGTTTGGATGAGTGTGGACGGATGAGTCAGATAGCAGACCTGACAGGTAGAGCAGAAATGGCGGGACAAAAGGGCACTGTGATGCATCACTTCCTCTGGTTGTTTGCAGGGCTGTTGGCAACATTACTCCCTTCATTAACCTCACATTAACCTGACAACAAGCTTGAGAGGAAATGTCTATTGACTCCATCGCTGCACCAAGAGAGGAAATCATAATAAGCTCTTTGCTGTAAAAGCTGTTATTTCACTGTGATTCTCTTGTCTGTCTCTGTGCAGATGGAAAGGTGTATGCGTTGGGAGGTATGGGAGCAGACACAACGCCACAGGCATTGGTGAGGGTTTATGAGGCAGAGAAGGACCAATGGCAGCCGATGACCTCCATGCCCACGCCGCGGTACGGAGCCACGCCCTTCATAAGAGGAAACAAAATCTACATGATGGGTAGGAGACGAGATCTTGTCATCTAATTTTAAGTTTTTAATCTTTTCATTTCCCTATGTTGAATTCACCAACACCGTCTGTTTCTATCCTGCTGGCTTCCAGACTTTTACAAACCATGGCACCCGTTTTTATTGTGCCTACTCTCTCCACATAGACTCAAAGTCAGTCATGCAGTCTTATTTATTGTATTCATTTCTGTTGCATCTACACATAATTGCAGGCATTCCAAAACACTGCATATGTGCTGTCAGAATAAAACCTCTTGAAACAATTTAAAAGCCAAGGACATTTACAGCCGGGGAGATTTGAACACTCTTGACTCTGAACTGATTTTCTACTGTTTTCACAGTCCTTTAACAGTTCGTACTGTTATTTTGTTCACACTGTTATTAGGACTGACAGGAACGCTTTGAGGCTTTGAAGCCTAGATTGTTGCCATGGTAATTAACGTCAGAATCAGTGTTTGAATGCTCTGTTTTTATACACATACATGCAATAGCTCTCCAACATTATTAATGCTGCATCAACATTCATTTTTTTAATTATTCTCAGACAAGGACATCTAAACCGAGTGATAGTTTTATGATTCCATCTTCCCCTTATCTAATGTCAGTCATCAGGGGCCTCATTTATAACACTATGCCACAAAACACACATTCAATCTTAAATGGTCAGTGCAAAGCGCCTCATTAATGTTGATGCATATGCTGATGATCATTGGTTCTTTACGATGAATCATGGCAATGACTGAGAGGAATTTTTCTGACCCAGGAGGAATTGAGGTGTTTGTGATTGAGCCAGGGGTTAGAAAGAACATATTGTTTGGTGGCCTGTGGGGTCAAAAACAAAAGAAAAGGCAGTGAGTGGCAGCATGTTCCTGCCTGCGGTTAAGTTTGATCGATATGTGCAGGTGGTGAAGATGTGTCGGGTAGATGACTGGTGAAGTGGAGTGTGTGTGGCAGTCTTTGCTGAGTCTTCATTGCACTTTGTGCGCCTGACAGCATAGGTGTATTTACTGCAGCAATTTTACACGCAAATACTGAAAACTGAAATCATACTAATTGATATATGGACAGTCTTAGAAGATACTGAGAACTGTTGATGCTGTGTGCTGCAGTTATTGAATGCTGTTTGATCTCATCTTGGATTTCTACAACTGACAATTATAATTTCATCAGTTAGCCTAGTTACATGGTTGAGGTGAAAGTGACTCCACATATTCACACTTATTAACCGAAGAGGGAAAGCCAGACTTTCCTGAATCCTGCCACAGCCTGGCATCATCCAGCTGTGCACAGTGAGCTCCACAGCTGACCACGACTGTCAGTTGCTTGCACCAGCACCCCAGCCCTCTCCTCTGTGCTCCGGTGGTGGAGAATGTGATAGTGAGACAACGCTAATGAAACAATGATTTGAGTTTGTATCTTTTACAATAAAAAAGTGCTTATGGCTCACTAACACAAGCGCAAATAAAACTGCTGCATTTAGATGTTAATGAAGTGGATCTATAACAGAAGTGTGGTATGAGGTGAATCTAAGTGTGAGAGACATCATTACGTGTATAATGATTCATCTCACATTTAATTTCTACATTCTGGCTTCAATTCACCACCTCACCATCTGTGTCAAGTTTTTTTATTTTTTTTATTTTTCATGCAGTGGTTATAAATAAGGCCCAAGCAGTCCAGCACTACTGACACTGCGACAGCTTTACCAAATTTGACAGGCTTACAGATACCCTAGCAAGATGTCAAAAAACTTGAGTGTCTGGAAAAATTTCAAAATTTGGGAATATTACCTGCAAAGGTTAAGTGCCAGATATGCCAAAGGAAAATGGTATGTCACAAATCTGTTTTCAAGCTATCATGAGTAATGCGCAACCTGCGTGCTAAGAAAATGGTTAACTCATGCTATTTTAGATGCATTGACTGATATCCTCATCTCTCACTTCTCCAGTTCTAAGCTTCAGTTAAGCCTAATTCACATTACGCAATTTTCACCGCGATTTTGGCGTTGCAGAGGATCTTGAGAGCCACCTTGGGTTGAAGGTGAGTTGGCAGATAGTCTGCCATGACGAGTCCTCATGTGTGAACAAGCCTACGAGCAAGTCGCCCCCTCGTCTGTGACTGGGACTGGATATCTAGCATGCTAGAAAACTGGAGAAGTCTGTTGGCCAAAACACACCGGCGGCGTCATATGATGGCAGCGTCATTTGACGGCGCCGTCATTGACACGAGTCAAGTGCCGCCCCCAACACACACAAAAAGCGTCGCGCTGCGGGGCGTCAACCGGATTTCTATTGCACACTCCAGTCCGCTAGGCTGGGAAGTACAAAATAGCGCTTTTTCAAGGGCGGCGACGCTGGAAAAATAGGACAATAGCGTAAAGTGCCGCGGTGTGGCACGTCGATGCGCATCAAACCGTCGCCGGTGTGAGTTTGTAAATAGAAAATAATGGGGGCGGCTGTTTTGACACGCGTCGTACGGCACCAGTGTGTTTTGGCCTTAACATGACTGACAAAGAGCATCAGCCAATGAGAGGTGGGATACATTCCACGTCAGCACGCAGGAGAATGGAAGAAATGTGAGGAGGACAAGCCGGCAAGCAACAACAATGGCGGCATCCACAGGATCACGGGGAGCGCGTTGTGTTTGGACCCAGGCCCTGGAGACAGATCTGATTCAACACTGGGAAGAATATCCATGCCTTTACAATGTGTCGTCTCCAAGTTAAAAAACATAGTTTGGTTACGTCACCGCATTATCTGGGGCTCTGTCAGAGAAGGCTCGTGGAGAAATCTTGTGGTGTGCACACAGGTTGTAACGCAGTTGGCGAGACTACCGCTGACAGAAACACACGTCGCCAGGTACGCACTCAAAAGATTACGATAGTCTCCGCGACGCAAAATCAGGGTGAAAATCGTGTAATGCGAACTAGCCTTTAGCCGCGAATATTTCTCATTGCAGCTTTGATGCCCCAAAACTGGTATTCGGGATATCTGGACTTGCCATTTAGCTTTGTAGTTCTCGGGGGATTCTCTATAGTATTACGAGTTAATATTGTATTAAGTTATGATTGAGTTATTTCCAAAACACTGGTCGTGTTATGTATATAAACAACATGATCATGTGTTTTATATGCTGGGACGGATGAAGTTCTTGTGATGACAGTTATATCAGCTGTGTCTTGAGACTGAGATATCGTAAATCATATAAAGTTAAACAAATTTTTCATTATTACTACAATATTGTGCAAAATAAAAAATACAAACAAATATTGCTGCAAATTGTTCATTGGTATTGTTCATGGCCACTACGTACCATGTTTCATAACCCAGCACTGGAGAAGCAAGACATGGGAACTTTACTTGGGTCTTGAGGAGCTGCAGTGTTTTATCAGGGACAAACTGAAACCCACATTGTACATGTACTGCCACAGATTTTCTACCACACACACACACACACACACACACACACACACACACTCTATGCACTGAGCTCAGCGGGGTGGGTGTGAGGAAAGACCATGAGAATCTTGCGGCATGTTCTGCACCATTGGTTCAATTAGCTGTTGCATCTCTCGATCTGGTATTTGCGAAAACAAACAGCTGGAGTAAAAGCTCTGTCACTAAACTGTGTTCTTATGTATCCTTGTGCATTTTTAAGTGTGTATATGGAAATCCTGGAGCTTTCTTTGTGGGTTGAAGGCGTATACCTGCATATCACATAGACTGCAGCTCTGCCCACAGCCTCACATCACCTGGGAGTCCAGTTCAGGGATTCAGCAGAGTGAAGAGGGATGTGTTCAGTCACTTTCTCAAGGACATTGATAGCTGATGACAGACTTGAAGTGCCTCAGGCTTTGGTGTTGTGGGAACATTTTCAACCTCTAGGCTACTCTGTAACACACTCAGTGCTCAAAGAGTAGATAAAGGGATAGGGATTGTAGGTGTGCCCACTCTCCCTTAACGATGCGAGTGTACTTTGCCTGGTCTGTCTTACACACTCATGGTATTCCTGTTTCACTTTGTTGCGCTCATGCAGCACACACACCTTCTGAACCATGGGTCAAGAGATACGCAAGTGTTGTCCTGCTTTCACCATAAGCCTTTTAGCTCTGTGACTTTATCTGCCTGGTGGTTTTACAGCTGTGAAAGGAACTGATGGGAAAACAAAAATGTGTCTCTGAGGTCTGAAGAGTCTTGCAGCCTTGGTACAATATTGATTAAGACAGAGATGGAGTTAAAAGCTACTCTGTAGGAGAGAAGAAAGGAATGTGTGTGCAGTGCACATCCTGCCTTTTGTTTTTCCCCCATCGAGTCATCTTCCATCCATGATCAAAGGTTACATTTGTTCTCATTGTGTCTCTTTGGGGGGCTGTTGTTGCTCATTGACACTTGGTAAAAATTTCACACCACCGCAAAGAGAGGAATTGGAGTCACACAAGGCAGGGTATGATCATTTTATCTCACTGCGGAAGCATTTTGCAAAGAGATGAATTCATTTCACTGCACGCCACTGGCAACAACACAGTCCACATTCAGCACAAAGTAGATGTAACCTCGTGAGAGCAGGAGCTTTCCATATCAATGTGTTTTCTCCCACGCTCCACCGGAGGGGTAGAGTAACTCTTTGCTTGTGTGCAGTGTCCGACAGAGCTTGACGCACTGCAGACACGTAACACAAGCAGGTGGAGAAAACATATGCATCAATTTGGCAACACATAGCCTGCATTTAGAAATACTGCAGATACTGAAAGCATAAGAAGATTGACAATGATGGAATGCAACTGGCTATATTTACTCAAATTTGAGGTACCTGGGTGTTTTTTGAGTATTTCCATTCTACTTTACCCCTCTACTCTACAACATTTCTGAGGAACTTATTGTACTTTGTTACATTTATCTCACAACTGGACTTACTTTGCAGGCAAATATTTAACAGAACACACGATTATTCAACAAAGTACGATTCAGTTGTTGTTGAGAAGGTTTGTTGCCA